AAGATAGTATAAATTGTGAATGGCTCTAAATATTTAGGATCACTAGATATCGATGATGATAAAAATAGATAAAACATATAACCTTATTAAATTATATTATTATTAAAATGAACTTTTTAGTCATATCTAACTGAATGTTAGTTATTCTTTACTTACGTAATGGATCGTTAGCATCAAATCTTATACCTAAACAAAGTAGATTAATTTTATATATTTAAACTGTATTATAGTACAAAACATAATTAAAGTAAATAATTGCTAATTAGCACTTAATAATTTAGATTTTAAAAGACTTAAGTAATTGCAACACTAAAGTGTTAAATACGAAATGTATTTAGAATAAAAGTTAAAATCATTTTGATAGTACATTCATGTTTCAAAGAAAAGAGTGAAATTTTAGAAAAGGATATATTGTAAATGGGTCTAGATATTTAGGATCTTTTGAATTCCAAGAAACCAACATATAATTAATATTATCTAAATAACTTATTTTATTATTCAAATGAACTTCTTATTCGCATCCGACTGAATGTTAGTAATTAATTGCTTACCTGATGGTGAGAAATTAGCACCAGTATTTAAACCTAAACACAGTAGATAAGTTTTTTTTATTTAAAGTTATATATATTAAATACATTCAGAATAATAGTTAAAATGATTTATCCTTTGTCAGTACATTCTTGATACAAAAGAAAAGAGTGATATTTTAAAATAAGATATGGTTTGGATGGGTCTAGATATTTAAGATCACTAGAAACATATACAGATACTAGTAAATTTATGACATTATCTTAATATATTATAATATTATTATAATATATTATTAATATAATATTATTCAATTAAACTTTCTAGTCTTATCTAACTGAATGTTAGTTATTCTTTACTTACGTAATGGATCGTTAGCATCAAATCTTATACCTAAACACAGTAGATTAATTTTATATATTTAAACTGTATTATAGTACAAAACATAATTAAAGTAAATAATTGCTAATTAGCACTTAATAATTTAGATTTTAAAATACTTATGTAATTGCAACACTAAAGTGTTAAATACGAAATGTATTTAGAATAAAAGTTAAAATCATTTTGATAGTACATTCATGTTTCAAAGAAAAGAGTGAAATTTTAGAAAAGGATATATTGTAAATGGGTCTAGATATTTAGGATCTTTTGAATTCCAAGAAACCAACATATAATTAATATTATCTAAATAACTTATTTTATTATTCAAATGAACTTCTTATTCGCATCCGACTGAATGTTAGTAATTAATTGCTTACCTGATGGTGAGAAATTAGCACCAGTATTTAAACCTAAACACAGTAGATAAGTTTTTTTTATTTAAAGTTATATATATTAAATACATTCAGAATAATAGTTAAAATGATTTATCCTTTGTCAGTACAATCTTGATACAAAAGAAAAGAGTGATATATTAAGATAGTATAAATTGTGAATGGCTCTAAATATTTAGGATCACTAGATATCGATGATGATAAAAATAGATAAAACATATAACCTTATTAAATTATATTATTATTAAAATGAACTTTTTAGTCTTATCTAACTGAATGTTAGTTATTCTTTACTTACGTAATGGATCGTTAGCATCAAATCTTATACCTAAACAAAGTAGATTAATTTTATATATTTAAACTGTATTATAGTACAAAACATAATTAAAGTAAATAATTGCTAATTAGCACTTAATAATTTAGATTTTAAAAGACTTATGTAATTGCAACACTAAAGTGTTAAATACGAAATGTATTTAGAATAAAAGTTAAAATCATTTTGATAGTACATTCATGTTTCAAAGAAAAGAGTGAAATTTTAGAAAAGGATATATTGTAAATGGGTCTAGATATTTAGGATCTTTTGAATTCCAAGAAACCAACATATAATTAATATTATCTAAATAACTTATTTTATTATTCAAATGAACTTCTTATTCGCATCCGACTGAATGTTAGTAATCAATTGCTTACCTGATGGTGAGATATTAGCACCAGTATTTAAACCTAAACACAGTAGATAAGTTTTTTTTATTTAAAGTTATATATATATTAAATACATTCAGAATAATAGTTAAAATGATTTATCCTTTATCAGTACATTCTTGATACAAAAGAAAAGAGTGATATTTTAAAATAAGATATGGTTTGGATGGGTCTAGATATTTAAGATTACTAGAAACATATACAGATACTAGTAAATTTATGACATTATCTTAATATATTATAATATTATTATAATATATTATTAATATAATATTATTCAATTAAACTTTCTAGTCTTATCTAACTGAATGTTAGTTATTCTTTACTTACGTAATGGATCGTTAGCATCAAATCTTATACCTAAACACAGTAGATTAATTTTATATATTTAAACTGTATTATAGTACAAAACATAATTAAAGTAAATAATTGCTAATTAGCACTTAATAATTTAGATTTTAAAATACTTATGTAATTGCAACACTAAAGTGTTAAATACGAAATGTATTTAGAATAAAAGTTAAAATAATTTTGATAGTACATTCATGTTTCAAAGAAAAGAGTGAAATTTTAGAAAAGGATATATTGTAAATGGGTCTAGATATTTAGGATCTTTTGAATTCCAAGAAACCAACATATAATTAATATTATCTAAATAACTTATTTTATTATTCAAATGAACTTCTTATTCGCATCCGACTGAATGTTAGTAATTAATTGCTTACCTGATGGTGAGAAATTAGCACCAGTATTTAAACCTAAACACAGTAGATAAGTTTTTTTTATTTAAAGTAATATATATTAAATACATTCAGAATAATAGTTAAAATGATTTATCCTTTGTCAGTACAATCTTGATACAAAAGAAAAGAGTGATATATTAAGATAGTATAAATTGTGAATGGCTCTAAATATTTAGGATCACTAGATATCGATGATGATAAAAATAGATAAAACATATAATCTTAATAAATTATTTTATTATTGATATGAACTTTTTTGTTGTATCTCATTGAATATTAGATATTCTTTACTTACTTAATGGATCGTTAGCATAATAGCTTATACCTAAACACAGTAGATTAATTTTATATATTTAAACTGTATTATAGTACAAAACATAATTAAAGTAAATAATTGCTAATTAGCACTTAATAATTTAGATTTTAAAATACTTATGTAATTGCAACACTAAAGTGTTAAATACGAAATGTATTTAGAATAAAAGTTAAAATCATTTTGATAGTACATTCATGTTTCAAAGAAAAGAGTGAAATTTTAGAAAAGGATATATTGTAAATGGGTCTAGATATTTAGGATCTTTTGAATTCCAAGAAACCAACATATAATTAATATTATCTAAATAACTTATTTTATTATTCAAATGAACTTCTTATTCGCATCCGACTGAATGTTAGTAATTAATTGCTTACATGGTGGTGAGAAATTAGCAATAGTATTTAAACCTAAACACAGTAGATAAGTTTTTTTTATTTAAAGTTATATATATTAAAAACATTCAGAATAATAGTTAAAATGATTTATACTTTTGTCAGTACATTCTTGATACAAAAGAAAAGGGTGATATATTAAGATAGTATAAATTGTGAATGGCTCTACATATTTAGGATCACTAGATATCGATGATGATAAAAATAGATAAAACATATTATCTTAATAAATTATATTATATTGAAATGAACTCTTTAGTCGTATCTCATTGAATATTAGTTATTCTTTACTTACGTAATAGATCGTTAGTATAAAATCTTATACCTAAACACAGTAGATTAATTTTATATATTTAAACCGTATTATAGTACAAAACAAAATTAAAGTAAATAATAGTTAATTAGCACTTAAAAATTTAGATTTTAAAAGACTTATGTAATTGCAACACTACAGTGTTAAATACGAAATGTATTTAGAATAAAAGTTAAAATCATTTTGATAGTGCATTCATGTTTCAAAGAAAAGAGTGAAACTTTAGAAAAGGATATATTGTAAATGGGTCTAGATATTTAGGATCTTTAGAATTCCAAGAAACCAACATATTATAAATATTATCTTAATAACTTATTTTATTATTCAAATGAACTTCTTATTCGCATTCAACTGAATGTTAGTAATTATTTGCTTACCTAGTGGTGAGAANCGCATTCAACTGAATGTTAGTAATTATTTGCTTACCTAGTGGTGAGAAATTAGCACCAGTATTTAAACCTAAACACAGTAGATAATTTTTTTTTATTTAAAGTTATATATTTTAAATACATTCAGAATAATAGTTAAAATGATTTATCCTTTGTCAGTACATTCTTGATGCAAAAGAAAAGAGTAATATTTTAAGATAGGATATGGTTTTGATGGGTCTAGATATTTAAGATCACTAGAAACATATGCAGATAATAGTAAATTTATGACATTATCTTAATATATTATAATATTATTATAATATATTATTAATATAATATTATTCAATTAAACTTTTTAGTCATATTTATTTGAATGTTAGTTTTTCTTTACTTACGTAATGGATCGTTAGCATCAAATCTTATACCTAAACACAGTATATTAATTTTATATATTTAAACTGTATTATAGTACAAAACAAAATTAAAGTAAATAATAGTTAATTAGCACTTAATAATTTAGATTTTAAAAGACTTATGTAATTGCAACACTAAAGTGTTAAATACGAAATGTATTTAGAATAAAAGTTAAAATCATTTTGATAGTACATTCATGTTTCAA